CACCTTCCCCGACACCCTCCCCTTCCCCCGGGACCGGCATCAACGTGGCACCAAAGCGTATCAAGGACGAGCTGATTCGTGTGACCACCAGGTGACTTGAGCCCAAACTACTGACCAACCTCATTTTAGGATAAATAGTCTCCATTGGGTGCAGCTGTGCTAGAAGGTAAATTTAAAGTATTTAAGCCGGAGTTGAGAAGTGTCGAAATCAACAGTGACAGGCTGGCAGCGAGTGTTTTTCTAGGGATGCAAACCCTTTGTTTTTCGCTGGGCTGTTGCGTAAGCCGGATCTTAGAAATGGATACAGTAATTTGTGATGTTTTCATGGAGTTAATTAACTGCTGCGATCCCACATTCCGAAAGTGAAATTGTAGGGATAAACTTGCAAACAGTCTGCTCTGTAATTGAGTTCGTCCTCCAGGCACAAGGTTTATCAAAGAGATCTAGAAGGGTTTTAACTCACGGAAAAAGCTCTGGCACCGCACAGCGTCTGCCTTCCTCTACAGGACTATGGGGGAATGTTCGGACTTCCCATCTGCTCTCCTTAACATAAACCATCTATACTGGAAAGCCTCTTCTTCCCAGATGGATCCATCCTCATCCTGCAGGCAGCAGCTTCTCAGAGCATGAGGAAGCACCTTTTATGCACTGAAAGCAGCACAATCCAATATTTATTCTGATTTAGAAATAATCAACTCCAAATTTTACCAGACTGATTCCTACCTCTGCTAGGCTTGGTGCAAAACCCACGTAATTCTCATTAGAAATCAACCAAAAAAAGGGAGCACTCCGTTTCCACAGAATCCAATGGAATTTCCATTGCTGAGGAGAAAGGTAATGATTTAATTGAGAATTGCTCAGAGTAATAATTACTGGAAATAAGCTGTTTATAAAGCTCCCGAGTATGACTTAAGGGAGGTGGCAAGGAGGCAGGAACTTCACTACACTGTACATAAAGTGAGTGTAATATTCCTATAAAAATGGAAATGCATGCAGAAGGTAAGTGGAAGAGTCTCCCTGTCATACTCCAGGCTACTAAAAAAGAGGAGGAAGAAGGAATATGTCCATGGAGAGGTAACAGAGAAGATGCAATTATTTATTAAAAAAAAATTTAAAATGCTGTGTTCATTTCCCAGCCATCCAAACCTTCTAATTAATGCCCCATCCCTGGAAGTGTCCAAGGCCAGGTTGGATGGAGCTTGGGGCAAACTGGGCTAGTGGAAGGTGTCCCTGCCCATGGAAGGGGGTGGGATGAGATGAGCTTTAAGGTCCCTTCAAGTCAAACCAGTCTGGGATTCTATGAATTACCTGGTGCAGGTTTAGAAGGAAAGCTAAAATCCAGAGCGTGGCCTTGGACACGGACTCCAGCACGCTCTGGAGTGCAATTCCATTGAATGGGTCACTTAGAGAATCATGGATTATCCTGAGCTGGAAGGGACCCCCAAGGATCATCAGTCCAACCCCTGGCCCTGCACAGACACCCCAGCAATCCCACCCTGTCCCTGAGAGGATCATCCAAACCCTCCTGGAGCTCTGGCAGCCTTGGGCTGATGGCGCCACTGCCCTGGTGGAGGGCGCTGGTCAGTGCCCAACCAGCGCTCTGGGGGAAGATACTCTTTCGGCCTGAGATGCCAACCTGACGCCTGCCCTGTCCCAGCTCCAGCCATTCCCTGGGTGCTGTCCCTGTCACAGAGAGCAGTCCCTGCTGGATGTCCCGTGTCACATAAGGCCCACACCGCAGAGTTTAGCTCAGTTTTATTTTCCACTGTAACGGATTTCGAATGATACATCTCATGCAGTCTGCCAGTGTATCCATCCATCTCCGGTAGAACTTCAGGATGAAGATAAAAGACTTATCTCCACGGGATGGGGGAAAGAGGGTTCAGGTTTCCTATCAAGAGTTTAATACATTTCAGCATCGTTTGATGCAATGGCAAAAAAAAAATTTCCCCTTGGTACCAGCAAAACGTGTCCACAATTTATTTTTTTGGTTTTTTTTTTTGTTTTGTTTTGTTTTGTTTTGTTTTTTTAATCCTAAATTGAACACTACTGTAAAGATACATAGAGCCCAGAGAATACACATCTGCAGTACACATTACACAACTTTACAAACTAGACAGGTATAAATCTACAGAATGCCTCAGCCCCCCCTGGCTCTCCCACAGCGAGAGGGGTGTCCATGGGCAGGGCTGTGAGGGCGGGAGGGAACGGCCGGAGCAGTTCCCTCCTGCACGGCGGATGCTGCCGGTGCACGGCGCAGTTCGTACAGGCACAGTGAAGACAGGAAACAAAAAAAAAAAATATCAAGGCAAGGGGAGATTGAGATTATCCTGCTATCAGTTTATTTCCTGATTCCTCCCCTCTTCCCGTCGAGGTGGGACTGGGTGGTTGCAGGAGGTGTTTCTCCTCCGACAGCGGAAACCTGGTGGGGCCTTTTCCCGTCGGACCTTCGGCACCGTTGGGCTTAAACACCCTTTTCTTCAAATTAAACTGTGTTCAAATTAAAATTCTTAGGGTAGGTTTAGGTGGGATATTGGGAAGGAATTCCTGGCTGGGAGGGTGGGGATGCCCTGGCACAGGTTGGGCAGAGAAGCTGTGGCTGCCCCTGGATCCCTGGAAGTGTCCAAGCCCACTTTGGAGCAAGCTGGGACAGTGGAAGGTGTCCCTGCCCATGGCAGGGGGTGGGACTGGCTGGGCTTTAAGGTCCCTTCCAACCCAATCCACTCCAGGATTCTCTGATTTATAAAGATTTCAGGCAAACGTGCAACCTTAGTCCATCAGGATTTACAAAATGAAATTGAAAATTTACTCGGGGTTCTGTAGTAAAAATTCTTGTGACTTAATTTTGAAGTTTTCGGTATATTCAGGATAATCAAACTCTCACCCCTGTTGAATACAAACTTAAAAATGCATCAGCCAAGATCTTTCCAGGCCTAAAACTTTCCTTGCTTTCCAGAAAACAAGTTGATGAAACATGAACTCAAGGACGAACACAAGATATTTGAACATATCATTAAGAGAAGCTCGAGTGAGCCAGAAATACTTTTTAAATACTAGCAAAAAGAACAATATGCACTTTAGTTCCATCTGAAACACGTTTCCCATTCGTATTTCCACCCAAATTTGTCCCATGCATGACATTTTTAGATGTGAAATTTCTTTTGCGCTGTACAAACCACAACTTGAAAATGAGCCTCGAGTAAATAGAACACAACACTCAAAGAGCAAAGAAAGTAAGGATCAGGTGGCAGAAAACGGCAGGAGACAGGTTTGGATCTCTGCAGAGCAGATGTGTGGTTTTCCTCTCCAGATATAAAACGTGAAAGCCTTAAAAATGGTACAAAAGTTGAATATACAGCACACGGTACAAACTGAAGTCGCCTGATTAAAATAGGCTTAAAAAAAAAATCAAAATAGATACAGAAGCAGAGTATGTTCAACTGAGAATTCGTGACTTCCAGTTATTACACATTTGGAGAATTTCAGCCCAAGGCATCCTTTTGGCATTCCAGTTGGAGGAAATCCTCCTGCAGTCCGGATGGAAAAGTGAACTTGGAGAAACTTAATTTGTCCTTGGCTAGTGGGACTGACTGGCTGATCAGCACTAGCACCATTAAGAGATGTCCAAGTTAACTTACCCCTCAAGCTGCAGAAAGCTCTCAGAACTGCCCTCCAGAACTGCCCTGGTGATGCTCTGAGGAACTCACACCATTTTTTTTAAGCTAATATTGCATCTACAATACAATTCCATACCAAACTCCCAATTCAAAAGACAGAACAAAAAGTTTTCCTACGACACAAAAATCTTTTGACAGCAAATAAGTTTGGTATCTTTCCCAAAACAGCTGTTTCAGAACCAAAACAAGAGGATTATTAGTTCAGAGTAGAAACTTCAGCTTCCAGCAGCTGGTAAGATAGCACAGAGTAGTTGTGGATTAGTGATTTTATTCAAGATTGCATATGGCAAGTTCACAGTTCATTCTTCTGGCAGTGCACATGCACGTAAAGAAAGAAAATATAAAACTTTGAAAAATACAAAATAAATTAAATACATGCAAATTTGCAGCTTCATTAAATATGTTTAGCAAAACGCTCCCCAAAATAGTGCAACATTAAAAAAAAACCACAAACAACAAAAAAAACAAACCAGTTAAATTAAGCCCCAACTTACTTTGCAACAACTTAAGTTTCAGTAGAAAAAAATATCTAAAGTCAACTCACAATCTTCCAAAACACTCTAAGTAACTGAATAATTCTACTCTTACTAACAAACAGGTTCAGAAATTAAAAAAAAAAAACCAAGAACAACCAACCAACCAACCAATCTCAAATTAAATAAGAGCAAAGGTCTGCAAAAGAAGACTAGAGGGCTATGCTCGGCCTAACCTTCCTGGAATCCCGGCTTCCCTAAGCCCGACCGTGTCACCTGCCCCGGGAGGAATGTGCAGGCAGGGAGGAGGAGGAGCAGCACCTTCCCGGAGAGATTCCAGTGCCCCCTTGCTGGGAAGATGGGAATTTGCTGCCTGGCTGGAAAAAGAGATCCAGGAAAGGCTCGTCCTTCCCTCGGTGAGCACCATCCGTAGGATGATTTGCATACATTGACCTACAAAAACATTCTTTTCCCCTTGGAATGTGCTCCTCACATCCCTGCAAATGTATTCCCAAATTTAGCCTGCAAAGGACAGCTCGAGTGTACAACTCTCACCTCCTTCTAGACTCTCTAATTTTTTAAGGGAGTATCTGGGATTTGGGAGATTTTCTTTTCCTTTGTTCCTTTAAGCTACGTCCTTTCTGGTCGGGGACTGTTCCCTCCGGGATCTGAATTCCCAAAGGCATGTGGGAAGGGGAAAGGAGGAGGAGAGGGGGGGAAACACTTGTCAGATTTTCCCAGACAAGATTTCCACAGCATTCTGAAAAGCCTTCAAAACTTCCTAGGGAACAACGCTCACAAACACACTCCAGGAAAACCCACCACCGTCGGGAGAACTACAAGCAGCAGCTCGGATCTTAATTTTAAAATAGGTCACACAGATAATATTCATGGAATTACCAAACTTCAAATCCTAGCTCTATACTAACAGATTTCTCTGCATCCCGTTTGATCTTTACCAGGTACTGCAATAAAGATTATTTTACACAGTCCAAAGATTTTTATTTATTTTTTTTTGGTTTTTTTTTTTTTTGTTCCCTCGGGATTTTACAAATGGTTCTTTGGGGAAATTTCCTTCTGAAAATGTAAAGCAAGTAAAACGAAAACCATATAGCAGCACATTTTCATCCCCTAAAAATATAAAATAATATGTATATTATACAGTAAATCAGTCATGACAGAGCACAATCACCTGCCTTTGGTGGCACTTGGTCAGTGAATAATTAATTCCTTGATGCCAGAAGTCGGGATTTACCGATGCAACGGAGGACTCGGAAAAAAAAAAAGAAAGCATCGCTCTGAGTGTGGAAGCGCCAACCTAAACCAGCGCCAAGGTGGGCTCGGAGTGGCAGACTCCCTAATCCTTACTGAGATGGGAATGTCCAATACATTGCAGAAGGGTCTGGACACTTCTGTACACGTGGAGGTCCTGCGAAGCTCGGGGTACCTGGGACCGGTGCGTTGCCGATGGCCGGAGGAAGCGCAGGATGAACGGGATGTGGGTCGGGTCGAAGAGGGGCAGAAAAGAAACTAGTGACTTAATGACAGTCCTTAACATGCTTAAGTGGAACTGACCTGCCAAAGAGAGCAGAAAGCAAGGGAAATTAGCCCGTTTTTGGGGTTAGGAAGGAGATCATCCCAAAGGTGACATCCAGCAACCAAAGAGCCTCCGCGACGGCGACGAACGGAGCCACATGGGAACAATTCATGGAATTAGGAATTTGTCATAGTGTGCCAATTCTCTTGATTTACACTAATTCTTTACCACCTGTAACCTGGCAGTTTGTCTTGCCTAAACACTGTAAAGGCCTAACTTTTTTTTCCCTATAATCCTGTTCCTTTAATGGGATTTTTCTCCCCACTGGATGTGCTCAAGAGCAGATCTGTGCCTATCTTATGTACCAATAAGGAAAGTAACAGCAGCTGTGCTTGAAAAACATAAAACAAAGGCATGAAAAAATATAAATACTTCTGTTCTACATGTGCTGACAGAGAGCCTTTCCTGATATATATATATATGTGCACACATATATAAATAAATATGCATTTATAAATATGTATAAAGTATTTTATAGATAATATCCAATCTAATGCTATAACACTATAGTATATCATTTTACATATGCACATTATACAGGCATCTTTCTCACTAATTTATAATAATTCCATCCAGAAGCAAAGTCCAAGGCACGTGACCAAGTGCCAAGGTTGCTTGGTTCACCTTTATAAAAAAGTTACAAATCATAAAGTTGATCACAAAACATTCCACATACATACTTTTAAAAGCTCTTGGGTTTTAATTGGATTTTTTCCCCCACATTTTTCATATGGAAAACACCACAAAAGCAACTGAATGTGCCTGGAACGTTTCTGAATACACTGATACAAAACCAGTCTTATGAGGATCCTCAATGAACCATTTTCTTGTACAGTTATTAAAAAAAAAACCCTTGTCCAAATTCAAGATCAAGTTATAAAAATAAACACATAAATATTGATGCATCAGTGTTTTTAAATTTGCCCTAGATTAATGTTGGGAGTTGTAGTTGGCTCCTAATTGTCCTCTTTATTAACACCTTATAGGAAACCAGATGGTTATTAATTTATGCATCTTATTGGCTGCATTAGCAGTGTTCTGGGTGGATTAAAAATATTTATTCATTTTGAATTTGAAGGCAGAATTTCAAAACGAGCTGATTTCTATTAACACTGATTTGGCCACATATTTAAGCATGAAAATTCAACACAGAATTGCCCCATTATCCACTTCAGCCTGGCAGCCACTAACCAGACACTGCAAGGGACACTCAGGTTTGCCCAGACACCACCTTTATGCTTATTTCCAGTTCTAAAACTGATTATTAACTAAGTTTTTCTTTAATGATTCAGAAAAAAAAACCAACACATAAACCCAGACTGTATAGTGAATTTGAGAATTCTGTGCAGTTTCTGGCCTAAACTTTGTGGGGCAGCATGAAAAGGAGTCAAAACAACAAATGAATACCACAGTTTTTGCTTTTGGAATTCCAGGCATTGTTTGAAAAAACTTAAATTCTTTGAAATCTACACTCTGTATAGATATTGAGTTATATTTAGTAACTATCCCCATCTAGAGCTTTAAATATGACAATATACAGTGACATGAAATTAATGCACAGCCATCGAGTATTGCTCTTTAAAGTGTTGTCAAAACACATCCCTTCACAAAAATAATTATTTTTCTTTTAAATTTAGGCTGAAGAATATATTTAAAAGCAACAAAATCATTGCACTTGTATTCCCAAAACCATCTACACTGTGGACAGAGTGAAGAATTCTCTCTTGGAGACCAGCAATGTGCAATTCCAGGAGCACATTTTATTAACAGCCCACATTTCTTTCTCTTCCATCTGCTGCTGGGTCAATCAATCATAATTACTGATCATTCTAACAGCACTAAATGTCTATTATCTTTGTGGTGAATAATGAATGAATGCAAGATAAATCTCTCCTCATCCTGGTAGAAAGTTGTCATTCCAGAAATGGGGATGGTTTGACAGCAAATGTTGGTACAGAAATCCCACCTTTATTTCACTGTTGTTAAATGAATATAAAAGGAAGTTCTGATCTAATTCCAGCTGTGTGAAACTGCACCTTTCAAAAGGAATGTCTCAACAATATTCTGGAGATAATCTGGATAAAGTTTTCCCTGCACAAGTAGTACCTTTATCAACACTCTTGCTCAGACCCCTGGGTTTTCATCCAAACAGCTCAAAATTCGGATTACTTTGATACTCCCAATGTTGGCAGTGAAATAGTTACAATTTGCCAATAATCTTCTAAACCAAAGGACCAAAACTGATGAGAACTGACTTTCTTCCATCACTGCATGGCCTTACCTGACTACATCTTCCAGCCTTACTTCTAGGTGTGAGCAGAAAAATCTACAGCACACTGTTTAAATTATTTCATTCCAGCCTCTGGGGAGTTGCTTTTCAGAATTTTTCTAATTTTATTCAGAAACCATAAATCCATAACTTTATCCATTTTTTTTTCTGAGGTCTTCCTTCTTCTTTTTCCTCCACCCTCACTTTCCATGAGCTCCTCTGCAATGTGTTCCAAGTGTGGCCTGAATCTGCTCATCCTGCACCACCTTCAGCATCTAAAATATCTGACAGGTATTCTGTGCCTTCTGATTGCTTTTTATTGATTTCAACAGCTCTATCTTCTTATAAACCCATCTAGTTTTATTTTAATTAATAGCTCCTATTAATCTCATCAGGTTGTTCACTTGACACGTGCCTGTACCTAATGTGTGGCCTGTTTGAGCCTGACTTAATTTCACAGCAGTTGGTATATTAAAAGTAAGTTTAATTTAGGCAAATGGCAGCTTTTTTTCGCCCCAGAGCAGCTGTTGCAATGAAAGTTTAGAAGTGTTTTACTAATATTTTAATATTTCCTCAGTCCCAGAGGTGGGAATGCAATGGAGCAGATGGACAGAGGCACCTCACTTGTGAGCTGGAAAAGCCACTTTCAGTTCAGACTGAACTAATGCACAAAACCACTCAGCAAAGCCTTGCCCTAATTTACCCACGGAGAAAATATGTTGCTTGAAGCTCCAGGGAAAACACAATGAGCAGGAACAATCCCCCAGCACAAAGAGAGCCTGAGTGTGCTGTGATGGATGCTTGGCATGCAGGCCTGACGTGAGGCATTCCCAAAATAAAGGGAAAACCACCCAAGAATGCTGAGTGCCTCCATGAAACCACAGACCATCAGAGGAGAGTCATGAGACAGAATTAAGCCTCAAGGAGAGGGGGGAAAAAGCCAGACTTGGAGGGACAAATTAGCAGTGCCTTGGGTGCTTTTCACTGCACTACCATCCAGCTCTTGGCTTGTCTGTGACATAAAGTGATCATCTAAAATAACACAGATATAAAAATCTCTCAGATAAGCAGCATTTAAAGAAGGAAATGGGAGGTTAGAGTCCATGAAACAGTCTCCTGGGAATATCTTGCTCGTCTTCCAGAGATTTTTTTTGTTCAGAAATCCTCAAGCCCTTGCAATTAAAGTAAAATATCAAATTATTTTCTTTTCTAAAAGAGACCTGAGTAAGAGTGCAAAGCAAGAGAAACAAAAGTAATGTTTCCCAAACTGTGCCATTCAAATTTGTGCTGCTCTACCCCTGCCCCAGGCTGGAATATCACAACATGGAAACACTTTCATGGTACAGAAAGCAGCAAATGATATTGGCAGAAGGAACCTCTGGAACTCTATTTTTACTACATGAGTTTCACGCCTCCAAGTGGGAATTTCAGTACAGATTTACTAGACTATAGTTTATTAAAAAAAGTCTTAACTTATAAGTCATTAAAATCAAACCTTTCTAACAGGCACTCAATTAGTAATTTTTTAAATATCAGCAAACGACTCCTACTAAAAATGGAAAAAATACACTGTGTGTCTGCTGAAAGCAAGACTGAACTCTAGGGGAGTGGGTGATCAGTGAAGGAACAGATGAGGAAGGTATTTTGGTCTTACTTCTCGCCTATTTGGTGTTGTGGTAGTAGCTGGAGTTGGACATCCCTCCCCCTCGGATGGCGTGGACAGCCGTCGGAGAAGACGCTGGATAATGGCCAGGGCGGATGGGCTTGGCTGCACAGGAAAAAAGAGGGAACCAAACAACAACATTCAGCTTTCACAGGAGGTTTTCCACCTCACCTTCTCCTCTGGTACAAACCCCTCTGTTCCCAAACACGGAGCTGTGCTTGGCAGAGGGGTGTGTGATCCAGCTCTGCGGAACACGGCATTCCCTCCCTCAGCCAACACATCCATCTTCTGCTTGGGACAGAGCCCTTTAGCCTTCCCATGCTTGGGATCTCCAAAGATTATGGGCTGCCTAGACAACACAGAGGAGTCATGGCCACTTGGTGGGCAGTGCTGCACTTCCCATGTCCAATTTGAGGATTTATATCATTCCAGAAGACGCCAAGACAAAGCTGCCGATGGCTTCCCACACAGGTGATACTGTGTGCTGCCTGATTCTCTCTTAGGTTTTAAAACACCAGTATTTGCATCACCACCCAGACCATCACCCTGCTGTTTCATCAATCCCAACAAATCATTTCTAAAATTGCCCCATCTTGACCGCCCCGTGGTTGTGTGCACTCATTGCGCCACAGATAACTCAAGCATCTGAATTACACAGGAAGAGTTTTTGACTCTGCACAGCCCCAAATTAAATCACAAGGAGGAGTAATCAAGGGAAAAAAAAGAGAAAGGGACAAGGTCCAGGAAGGCACACACTGTGGCACAGAGACACATCAAGTATCTGAATTACACAGGAAGAATTTTTGACTCTGCACAGCCCCAAATTAAATCACAAGGAGAAGTAATCAAGGGAAAGAAAGAGAAAGGGACAAGGTCCAGAAAGGCAAGGAAATAATGAAAGCAGAAAGGGAGAGCGTGGGGGGAGGAGGAAGAAAGTAAGAGACTAATTTAAGGAGACAAGTTTTCAGGTCACTAGAAGGGCACACAAGCCCCATTATGCCACTTATTTACCGAGTTAAATAGCAGAGGCTCTTTAAGCTTGAGGTGGGGCAGATTCTATTAAAAAGTGAAGCCTTTGAAGATCCCAGGAGAAGCAGCGGCCCCCGCGGTTCCGCCGCTGCTCTCAGAGCTCGGCTCAAACCCGAGCCAGCACGCCGAGCACGAGGAATGCGGGCAACCCTTTAGCTCCATGGCCTTACCAATCTGAGCAGAGTGTGCTCTCCTGGCCATGTTTTTGGCTCTCACGGCCTCCTTAATGCGATCCACCTCCTGCTGGTAGCGCTTGCGGTCCCTCATGGCGTTCTCCTTGGCCTCCTTCAGTGCACTCTCCAGGGCCTTAACTCTCTCTGCCGTAGCTCGAAGGCGTTTTTCCAGCTTAGGAAGCTCGCAACGAAGATCTGCATTATCACGAACCAGCTGCAGGAAAGGAATGGCCAAAAGGGCCCGTTAGAGACCGCGGGAAGGGTTCTCCGACAAGGAGAGGCCGAAAACGCCGCCGGCTCCTCTTCGCGCCTCGCGGGCTGTGGGTAAAGCGGGTTTCTCCCAGAAATGACTGGGAAAAGCTTATGTCAAAGAGAAATGTAGGACTGAGGAATATCCTGAGCTGGAATGGACACACAAGGATCATCAGTTCCATCTCCTGCACAGGACAACCCCAACAATCCCATCATGACCCTGAGAGAGTTGTCCAAACTTCATGGTTTTAATCACACAGTTCATTTGTCTGGCTGAGGTGTGATATTCACTTAAATATTCATTTTTCAAAGAGAAATTTAGAATCATTGGAATATCCTGAGCTGGAATGGACACACAAGGACCATCAATTCCATCTCCTGCACAGGACACCCCAACAATCCCACTGTGTCTCTCTGAGAGAGCTGTTCATACTTTTTCATTTGTCTGACTGAGGTGTGATATTCATTTAAATATTCATTTTTCAAAGAGAAATTTAGAATCGTGGAATATCCTGAGCTGGAATGGGCACACTCAGTTCCATCTCCTGCACAGGACAGCCCCAACAATCCCACTGTGTCTCCCTGAGAGAGTTGTCCAAACTTTGCAGTTTTAATCACACAGTTCATTTGCCTGGCTGAGGTGTGATATTCACTTATATATTCTTTTTTCAAAGAGAAATTTAGAGTCATTGGGATATCCTGAGGTGGAATGGACACACAAGGATCATCAATTCCATCTCCTGCACAGGACACTCCAACAATCCCACCATGACCCTGAGAGAGTTGTCCAAACTTCATAGTTTTAGTCACAATTGTCTGCCTGAGGTGTGAGATTCATTTAAATCTTCCAGAAAAGTCAAAGAACAACAGAGTTTATGCCACTGTTTATTCCATCCAACAAAATTTCACAGAGCTGATCCTGAAGGGTGAGGGCTTGAGGACAAAACCTGTCACTTCAGGACACTCTTCTGCCATATCTGCTTCTCTAGACTTTACAGCAGCTGCAGCAGAAGCTCTACATTTGCTCAGAACACAGAAATATTTTGCAAATAATCGATCACCTCGTGATTTCAAAATAGTAATGCTTCAATATGTCTTACAGGCAACACTGGGGACCGTCCAAAATTCATCATCTCAAATGGTTCTGACACATTCACCTGTGTGTTCCCTCCCCAGGCATGTGGGAAAATTGGAAACTTCACAAAGAAATCACTTTTAGGTTCTGTAGCTATAAATATGGTGATTATATGCAATTTTGACTTCATGCACTTCCTCAATTTAATATAAACCTGAGCGAGGTCTATCAATTATCTAAATAACATCTGACTTTCCATGCACCAACAGCCAAGAGAGAGAGGATTGACTTTTAATAAATAAAAACAGTCAGAAAAATCCAGCACAATTTCTACTGAACTGATTAAACCAGTGCTAGAAGTCAGCAGAAATCTGCTCCAAAGGAGTGATCCTCCCTTTTCTGGAGTGAAAAGTGGTTTAACCACCACATTAATAACACAGTAAAGCACCAGCACGGACTGACATTCACATGTTGTTTGACAATCAAAATGTTTTACACCTGCTGGGCCACGCTTAGTGCTGAAATAAAACACAAACAAGCTAAAAAAAAACTTGTCACAATGTGCTTTTTCTGCAAGTGTTGAACCCTTGTCCTAGGAAATAGTGATGATATGGAATCAGAGCAGGATGGCAGCACAGTCCGGTCAAGTCCAATGTCATTTTTCCCTCTAAGTTTCTTAAAAGCTGTGGATTCCAAGTTGGTTTTGAGTAAATACAGACTAATGAGAGCTATAAAAATGCGGATTTGAAAGGCAGCAGATGCGTGATTCGAGTGCAAAAAAAGGCAAAATGGTAAAAGAAAAAGACACTCCTCCAACATGTCCCCATTTCCACATTTAGAAAGTAGGCCTTTAAACCATCTGTTCCCTGGGAATCTCAAACTACTGAATCTTAGTGGACACTTGTCGTGGTCCCAGCACCACTTGGCCTCTTGGCACTTCCAAAGGAATAAATAAAGAGAATTTCAGGGTATGTCTCACTAATACAGTTTCAGAAAAGTGCACTGCCTTCCAAACCAAACCAGGCTGGGATTCTGTGAAACAGGAATTCCATGAAGGAGGGGTGGAATGCCCACAAATGAGGCACCAGCCCCTTCAGCTGCCCAGAAAACCTCCCTTTCTTTGCTTTCACACTGTGCTCGTTGAACCCCCTCGAGTCACCTCCGAGGTGCCCCTGAGCAGCTTTAGCCCAGGAGTCAAAATTTGGGATACACAAAAAAAAAAACACAGCTATTTTTTTTTTACGTATTTCTTAGTGCCAAAAACGAGCTAAAGTCTATTTTCATAGACAAAATAATGCTTATTTCACACATTCATAGAAATACAGGTGGTGGGAAGAGCAGCTTCACACCAGCTCTTGACACCAAGGAGTTGGGAGTTAAAACCTGTGGGTACCTTTCCCTCAGGCAGCGCAGGTCACCCGCCAAAATTATCCTTGGAAACATTAAAAAAAGGGTATTTTTTGTTTGAGGGAGGGAAGAAGGGAAGCAGGGGAGAAGGGAAGGGGAGCCCCTACCTGTTTGTGAACCTTTGTAAGCTGTTCCAGGTTGTTCTCAAGAAAGGAAATCTTCTGCTTCTGCGCGGCGCTCCCACCTCCATCGTCGCTGTCAAGCTCAACACTCTGCACAGAGAGTTCAGCATTCAGCAAAGCCAGGCAGAAACTCCACAGCAAGCTCAGCTCTTTGGGAAATTTAAGCTTCTCAAAGGCAGGAAAGTCTTCCAGAGCCCCAAATTAAAATTATTTAGCCTGTTTATTTGATATTTAACAACCGCGTTCCCTGCTACGTAAAAAATAAACTGTTCTTAGTGAGCAATTATGGGGGGATCCTGAATAGGAAAATCAAGTTATATTGAATGATTTCTGGTGCCCATTAATACCATCTTTGAGAATATTTTTACTTGAACTCAACTGGACTGGTTCATTTGCTTAACTAAGACTAGTCCTTAACGAATGATGACCAAATAAAAGCTCATAAACAGCAGAATAGTTTTAATCTTGTTTCTCCCTGTTGTTAAAAAAAAGACAATATCCCATTTGGTGACAACATGCACTAAGGGCTTCCAGCAGATCACAAGAATACTGCAAGGAAAAGGCAAGATTTGGGTTCAAAAGGAGCAGAGTCTCACTTTTTTAACGCGGGTGGTAAGATCTTGGACAAACAGTTTACGCAGATTGTGAAGAGTCTGAAGTTCTCTTGCCTGGAATAAAAACAATAAAATAACCATTAAAAAAAAAAAGATTAAAAAATCCCTCAGTAAGATACAGTAGATACTGTGGTGTAAAAGTTCTCCTTGGATTTTAGTTGATAGGAGGGGAGAGAGCTCTGGATTCTCTCTTTAGCAAATACATTACTCACAGGCACTTCAGAAGTTTTAAGTGCTTTTAAAATTTTGGCCAAAATCCAAGTTTTCCCAGTTTGGTGGTTTTGTTGTTTTTTGTTTTTTTTTTCTCAGGCTCAGTAAAATAACCACCTTACCCCAGACTGGAGGGAAACATTAACCCACGTGCAGGAAAGGGCAGCTCATCCCAACCCCATCCAACTCCATAGCCAGACTGAAGAGAACAAGAGCAACCCTTTTTTAATTTTATTTTGAGTAGTTAAAAGCTGTTTATTAAAAAATCAATATCTATATATATCATCCGGATATATACACAGATGTTAGGGACAAAGTGTAATTAAGACCTACCACTGTTTCCTCCAGCCCCTTAAGGTCTTCTCTTGCTTGTTCTCTTTTATCATTAAGCAGTCTAGAAAGATCACAACATGGAACACAAATCAGAGATGCTGAAGTCATATTAAACAGAAGAGAATCAACCAGCATTCAGCTGGAGTAGCACATCTGCAGAATGTGAGCAAATTGCACATCTCTGCATCTGTAATTATGCTTTTGACTGCCCCAAATATGCAGCTCTCTCCCGTGGAAGGGCTGAGTCACCACCTGCATCTTTTATGTCCTCACATGAAATTTTTATCTCTCATTTCCAGGAAAGGGTTTTTTACTCAGACAGCTGATTTATTACTTAAAAAAAACCACAAAACAAAACAAAGAAAAAAAAAAAATCAATAAAACCCCACCTGAACTCCTCAGCCTTTTCCTTGTTTTTGCTGTTTGTTAAGGAATGAGAGATTTAACACTTGCTGTGATATTTTATAAAATCAGAGCTCTAATAAAATCCTTTTGGGCAAGTATCAAACCCACTACTAAAAAGCCTTTGATATAAAAATATGGAGCAATTGGTAATCATTTATTAATGCTGCACATTGATATTTTCAATGTGAATATGGCAACACAAATGCCTCTCACTGGCACATTTCCTGTGATCATACTGAGAGATTGAAGGACACCAGATGAGAAAACTCTTGACTTACATGAGCTTTTCCAGTTTCATTTCTCTTTCCTGGTCCTCAATTTTTAATTTATCATAATCAGCACTCAGTTTCTCTTGTTCCAGCTGCAGCTTCTGATTCATGCTGGAACGAGAAAGGAAAAGTCAGTACAGCTCAGGCCTGAACCCCAGAAAACAGGTAAATCCCCATGAACAAACTGGGGTTGGACAGAGAAAGAAAAGCTGTAACTCTCTACTGAAAAATTCTGAAAGAAATAAGCATAAAGAACCCTAAAAACGATATTTTAAAATACTGGAGAACTAAAAATCAGTGGTTTGTTTCCTTTACCTTAAAGGACACAACCTGTTCTTTCTGTCCTGCTTCCTCATGTTCCTCCTTTCCCTATGATTAGTCCTTGGCCACACAATAAATATGATAAAATAATAAATGCTACACCAGGGTTGCCTAGATTTTAGGAAAAGAAGAATACAAGGAGCAAAACACTCCATTGTCCAAGGGCTGGAGTATCTGACTAACAGATACATTGGTGTGTCAGAAGGAAATACTAAGGGTGTGAAAATGGGAGAATTTGAGTCTCTCAGGAAGTCTGACAGGACCAATTGCTGTAAGAGGCCCCCAAAAAACCTTTCTGGGGACGTGGTCAGTGGTGGCTTTGGTAGTGGTTGGACTTGATGACCTTAAAGGTATTTTCCAACCTAAATGATTCTGTGATCTCCTGAAATGTGTTCTCCTCCAAGCTCCTCTTACCTACTGACCTGCAGGTCTAACATGACTCTTCCTTTTTCCTCTCTATAATTTTATGGACTTAAAGCTCCCCACTAAAGAAGTAGGGACTGTAATCCACCCCATAAAATAATTACAGGGTTGGCTGTTGCATGCAAGGACAGAATAAACATGTAAGGGGCAGAATATTACGTATAAACATCCATTAAAACTAACAAAAGCAACCCCAAAACATCCCTACAGTGTCACAGGACAGAGAAGGTGATGGAGGGAGTGAACATACTCTCTGATTTCATCAATTATTTTCTGCTTCTCCTCGATTTCATCCCTCAGCCTGGACAGCTGCTTCTGGTGGGCTTCCCTGTGACTCTCCATCTGCTGCTCCAGGGCCTTCTGCAAACACCAGAGCCGGGCATGAAACACAAATCCAGGCACACACAGCTGAGCTTCCTTCTCACCTGCCCCCTAAATCAACCTGTTCCTCTGGATTTGAGGGGAAATTATCAGATCAAGTTAATTCAGGAATCTGCCTGGCGTATCTTTCTGTGATTAAAAACTGTGTGTCTGCTCATCTGAGCGTTTAATTCAGTTTTTAGCAACAGATGTACACCAATTTCTGCTCATTTCCTTGCAAAAACTGCCACCAGTGAAAGTCAGGGGCCTGGAATATCAAGTGCCACAAATGACACTGATTTTACACCAGTCCTCTGCTATTTCACCTCTTTTTTTCACCAAGGAAATATGTGTACAGCTTTATTTCACCTGCCTATTCACCAAGAAAAAAACAGCAGCTCTGCCTGTGACAGAAGTGAAACCCAAACCACCCTCCTCCCCCTCTGAAAACTGTTTATCCACAGAGCCGCTATTTAAATTGTTATTTAAATTGAAATTCTAAGATTAGTAAGAAAAACCCAATGCACCTCTTTAAATTGCTAATAAAAGATTTGTTTTTTCTCTTCCAGCTGTAAGGAAGAACTGTACAACTGCTTTAATCCTTTTAAATTTTTATAACAGAGGGAAAAGTTCTGCAGAAGACAAACCTCTAAAAAGTCTATTTTTTCCTTGTCTGCAACTTGCAACCCCATTGAACCAACACATTGCCAACATTTCTTTGCATTCCAGGGGAAAAATACCAGGAAACGGGTTTATATTTTATTATTACTTCCAGGGGATAGTCAGAATTCTTGCCAAACTTCGGGAAAGTGGCCTCTTTGTAAATCAAATCTCTTAGTACCTAAATTACATCAACCTCAGCATCCTGACTCACTCCTGAGCAAACTGACTTTCAGCAGAGTCCCCCCAGCAAAAAATAAGCGTAACTTAGAGGTGAATCAATACAATTTTTAATAGAGGAAGGCAAAATTACACCCCAATTATCAGCTGGGTGAAGGATCTCCCTGAGAAATGCCCTCTAAAATTGCAGTGCCAAACTACCTTCATCTCCTCTGCATCCTGAAGCCGGGTCAGATGCTCCTTCTCCTTGTCCTTGAAGCTGACTTCGTGCATTTTTTCTGTTTGAAGGTGGAGACAGTTGAGAACTAACCACACAATTCCAAGACATGCTACATCCAGCCATTTCTCAACCTATGCCTGTCTGTTTTATAATCCCACTTATCCCAATTCTGCTTTCACTGGGGGAATGGTGCCTCTAGAACCAGGTCATTTCTCATCAGCGGGGTAGGAAGAGCAGGAAACAGAATAAAAATTCTGTTCTAACAAGGCAGGAGGAGTTAAAAGAAAAAAAAAGTCTTGTCACCACCTGCTGCTCCCTCAGTCAGAGAAAATCCCTTGTGCAGAAATCCAGAGTGATGGAATTTTACATAAAACAGTAGCTCAGCAAAGCTACAAGAATTGCTCTTGAAAGATACACATTTTCCACATTAAATGAAGGGGAAAACAAGCAATCCTTAAAAGGAAATCATCTGGATCCTGCACAGGAGCTGGGAAGGACACACCTTTTGCACACCTAAGGGAAGCAGCTTCCTTTGGAATGGAGTTTGCCAGAGGGACAACTGAAATCAGACAGACCTCTAACAATTTTACAGAACATTTAGCAAGATTGCCTGGTGCTGTTTGGCTGAAGAATTCGTGTGGGTTTTGTTTTTTTAATTTCTCCCATCATTAAAACCCAACATGGAATTTTGTAGGATACAGCTACTAAAAGGAATCGTGGCCACAAGGCCCAGAGCGGTACCTTGAGCACGTAGCTTGGCCAGCTCCTCGTTGAGAGAGTCCTGGGACTCCTCCAGCTGCCTCCTCTTCTGCTCCATGTTCTGCATGTAGTCTGTGAGGGACTTGATCTTCGCCTCGTGCTGTGGAGACAAGGAGAACAGCAGTGAGATGTGAGCAGCACGGCCTGTTTCCTCGGAATTCAGGTGCTGTCCCACATCAAGGAGGAAGGACTTGAGTCCCCTCGGTGTGGGACCCACGTTGGAGCTGTGCCTGAAGGATGGACCCCGTGGAAAACGACCCACGTTGCAGCAGTTCATGGAGAACTGTCTCCCATGGGATGGACTCACGTTGGAGCTCATGAGAACTGTCTCCCATGGGATGGACTCACGTTGGAGCTCATGAGAACTGTCTCCCATGGGATGGACTCACACTGGAGCTCATGAGAACTGTCTCCAGTGGGAGGGACTCACGTTGGAGCTCATGGAGAACTGTCTCCAGTGGGAGGGACTCACGTTGGAGCTCATGGAGAACTGTCTCCCATGGGAAACATCCCACCCTGGAGCAGGGGAACGACTCTGACTGAAGCAGCACCAGGAACAATCTGTGATGAACTCACTGTGCCCCCCATCTCCATCTTCCAGCATCACTGGAGGTGGTAGAGCTTGGGAAGGATGGTGTGGTGGGGGAAGGTGTTTATAACATTTATTTTACTTCTCATTATCCTGCTCTGATTTTGTTGGCAATAAATTCAATTATTATCCCCAGGATGAGTCTGTTTTGCCTGTGAAGTATTTGGTGAGGGATCTGGGTCTTTATCTCATGAACCTTCATTAGAGTTTCTCTCCCCTGTCCAGTTTTGGAGGGCAGTGATAGAACAGCTTTGGTGGGTGTCTGGCCAGGGCCAACCCCCTACACCATCCTATACAGTTTTCCATAACATTTTATTTCATATACTGCTGCCTTGTTATCTTGGCAGCATATTAATAAAGCAGATATGGGGAGCTTTCCAAAGGTTTGGCTAGTGAACAATATGGTCACTGCTTCTTCTCTCAGGCTGCTTTTAAGATGATACAAGATACAAATTCAGGGTAAGGAAATCCCATATAAACGGGTGCAGAAATCCCATACAAATTCAGGGTGAGGAAATCCCATACAAATGGGTGTAGAAATCCCATACAAATTCAGGGTGAGGAAATCCCATACAAATTCAGGGTGAGGAAATCCCATAAAAATGGATATGGAAATCCCATACAAATTTGGGGTAAGGAAATCCCATAAAAATGGATATAGAAATCCCACACAAATTCAGGGTGAGGAAATTCCACATAAATGGGTGCAGAAATCCCATA